AACAAGCAACCGCAAGTCTGTCAATCGCTTTCGACATACTGGAGTCAGTCCAAGGTGTGAAGCTCAAATAGGGAGACCTCCCAAAGACCTCCCCGGAAGTAGAAACATGGACCAAAAACCCACTGGGCAAGGGGGCCTCCCTAATGGGATACACATCCATTGTGACGGTCTCATAAATACACGGCCGGCTGAAAGGAGTCATTGTTTGAGGCGCATGAAGAAAGCACTCTGGAGTCCTTCTTGAAGTAGCCGGACAAGTAAAGGTGCCTTCGCTGTATGTAGTGCACATCCTGCCCACAGAAGCGAATCGACTGAACTGGCCACTTTTGACGTGTTGCACAAGCAAACCAAACGAAACACAAAAATCAGCCACTCCATCGATAGAATCGTTACCTACATTGGTATGGTTTCAGTGGTCAATGTAGGTAGAATTATGATATATATTCCAGACATGGAGTGTCTGGGACATATATATGCCAGCACGTTGTACAGCTCGCGAAAGTGTTTCTGGACCCTCAAAATGGTCTCGACAGTGTGACCTCTAACACGATAGTAATATACTCCCTGATATAATCATGGAAGTGGAGTTCACTATACCTGTTTGGTCTTCGGATTTCATGGTCATTCAAAAACAGCAAAATACAGCAAAAAACATACAACCAATCCTCAATCCGCGTGACCATGATTAAAGGTCTTAGGCTCTATCTTCAGCGAGCCTTGGAAGCTCTGAAAGTTCGTCCCCTGCTGGAACAAGCATCCTCGAATCTGACATCAATAGTTCAAGAGGTTGACCCAAAAGAAGTTGAAGGTTGACTCGTTGGACCCGTGTCAAAATCGAATTGCTGAATTCATGAATCACTATGAATCCACGATGGGGGGGAGAATCTAAACACTTTCCTGCTTGAGTTTCTCAGGATGTCAGGCCATTTCATTGGATCCTGAGTTCACTCTCCAAATCAAACCCCACCCCAAAACATCCAGCAATCGCCCACAAAAGAACCTGTCATGGCCCTTCACTTTTCACTCACGCGCGTTGCAGCGACGAGGTCCCCGTCCGGTTCCGCCTCCGGGGTGTCTGTGGAACTTCTACCCGACTGGAACTTGAACCAACACTTCCGGATTTCTGCTTCCACCTGGCGCTGGCATACAAGACAAGGCTGGAAATGAGGTGACTGGCATCGCCATCAAGCAATATCACGTACGGAATCTTAATATCAACTTATATCAACTACTGAGCTAGCAGCTAGTCAAGGATGTTCCTTTGACATCCTTTGACTACAAAGTTCTTTGAGAGTCCAAACCCAAATGGCTCCCTGAAAGACCTTGAGGAAGCCATCCTGACCGAATTCATCCTCACCAATTCCGGGGGACGCCACGGAGCAAGTCGCTGCGCCCAAGCCGTTGTTCCAGTCATGCGATGACCATGTAGAGAGCTGTTTGGAACTTGGACCAAAAACACCACACGTTCCGTGTCTTTCGTTTTTCGGTCGCTCAGTGTTACTCATCATCCTCCGCCCTGAGGCCCGTGGCATCGAAACCAGCGACGATGACGCAGTCCCTTATCGGGGCGTTCGGACCCAGATCATCCACGATCCGCAGGTTCGCTGGGCACTTGAAGTCCGTCTATAGAGACTGCACGGTCAGGTCATGCGGCCACGTCAGGTCAGCGACGTGGGGGGGGTGGAATCCATGTCATCCCCACCTGTTCCAAGGATTTCGTCATGCCATCGATGTACACGAGACTCTCCTTACATCGACCCCACGGAGGGTTTACCGTCCGCGCGGGTTTCTAGATATGAGGGGAACAGGGCTGAACCGGGCTGAACGGTGCGGGAGCTGTCTCAAAATCTCTCAAACTCTTATGTTTTTGCAGGTTGACCTGTGTCAGGCGCTACTTGCGGGCGCTACTTGGTTGGGGCAATGAGGAGGTTCTTAGTCCATTGAAAGGGTGCTTCAGAATTGCTCGCGTATCCCAGGCATCCGCTGTTCTTCGTTAGCTCTCAGCATTTGTCTTTTAAAACCTCCTCCAATTTCCAATGCCTGGTCGGTATGATAACAAAAGTGTCCATATAGCATGCTTCATTTCTGGGGTCACGAAGCACAGCCAACAAATGAATTGCCTTGAGTGACCCCGGCTGTATTTCCTGAAGGGAACACACCTAGTCCTTGGGGCCCTTGTCCCTTGGATTTGAACATCCATGCATGTTAAGGGTTGAACCTCGAACAACTACTGTCAAATTGTTCCACTATCACTTTTAGACCATAGCGCCGTCAACCTTTCTTTCAATTGTCTGTTCAGGCTATTGGCCCTTTTAGATCCTTTTAGACTAGTGTGGATCAGTTGCCGCGGGAAGTTGTGAGAGACAATGTCTGCACTTCCTAAAGGGACCCATGGGGGGATCTTATCCTTTCAACATGAGCCACGGCCAGACCAGTACAGGATAGCTATTCCTGGCCACTTCTCACCAAGTATCTCTCAAGATCTCAGCGTTTTGCTGCGCACCTGGGCGATGAACGATCACAGTTGACACGCCTCATCGATAAAAACGGCGCGCATTCCCAAAGTGACGAGCAAACCATAGCAAACCAGCAGCCAGCAGTTTTGATAGACTGCAGAATAACATATAACCTTTAACAGCAGCGTTGAGACCTCACAACGGAAAACATCAAGACAAAGCCTTTCAACTGGTTGTCACCACTCGAGCGGAAATGACGCTGTGACTGTGTTACTTGCAACCTATCGAAAACCAACTGCAAGGCAAACCCTATAATTAAATGTGGTAAATATGCACAGTGCCATCAAGTTTTGCCGCACTTCGAACAATCACCTGTTATGTGTTGATGCCAGTTGACGCATCTCTCCTTTTTGCGCTGCCATCTTCATCCCAAGTTGGCCGGCTGGAATCAGAGCTATCCGTGCGCCATTGTCGGAAAACGGATTGTCGGCGGAGACTGTGGAGGATTTGGGAAGAAAGAGAGAGAGAGAGAGAGGGAGAGAGAGGAGACTCTTTTTGCAAGGCCGGGACCAGGAGCCCCTAGTAGCGTCCTTGCTCCTAGTAGTAAGGCCAGGAGCCCTTAGTGGCGTCCTTGTTCTTACGACTCGGAGACTCTCCAAAGAAGGACTCGTTTTGGACCAACATCAGTTGCAGGGCCAGTATTGGTGCTCTTTTTCTTCGAAAGTGGGGCACCTAGGGGTCCGTATGACCAATTATAAGACGCACTAGCCATGTGGCGTGGCCATATTTAGCTACGCATTCGAGAAAAGAACACATCACATGGAAGTGGAACACCACCACCTGGACCTCTTTGGTATTCGGGCAAGAGCCCTCCGACGGGGACTCCTACTACGACTCCTTTTGCAAGATATACGCAGTGGCAGAACTCCTAGAGAGGCCAAACTCATCTCGTGCTGCAGGCTTATGCTGGTGCCGTCCACTCAGCAACAGCTTGAGCGCCAGGCTGCTGGTGTCCTTCTCGGTATTGTGCGACACCATTGGTCTATCGACTTCACTGCAGAGCTCGGTGGTACGGGCAGCTGGGGCAGCTGCCATTTCTCGTCAAGGACAGAGACCAGATCCAGTAACACAACGTCAAAGTTTCTATTTGGAGTCCCTAACTTACCTTGGAGTCCAGGCCCAAGTGACCTCAATCCCAGGGATCAAAAGGTCACTTGGAAGAACCGGGTGATTTCAAGCATCAACACTACCTGGAAAGGAAAGAAGTCGAAAGGAGTGAAGTCGAAACCGCATTGTTCCGTGGAAACCGCATGAAGCGGCAGCTTGAGAGGAACCAATTGTTAGAGATAATCTATCGACCCAGTCACTACATGCTTATCAGGAACTGAATCCAAGCGCATCGAACTTTTTCAGCAAAACAAAGGCGTGGCTACCGGTAGAGCAAGTGTGTGCCCGGTAGCTAACGGACTTAAGAAAGTCTGTTTCGAGGTCACCATGCATTGCTGAAAATGCCCTCACTGGAAAAGGCCTGCTAATTTCGCAGGTCATCGAAGGCTCCTGTACTGGTGACCTGCAAAAAAGGATCATATAAAAGCTGGGTCCACTACTAACCGTGCGCGTTGCGGACGGCCACCAAGTCATCTGGATCAAAGTGTCACCCGAGTGTCACCCGTTCCCACAACTGAGTGAAGGAACTGCAGTGAAAGCTAAAGACTTCATCGCCTAGAAAGTCCTGGTCTGTCCGTAGAGTCACTTCTTGCAAACGCACAAGCACAGTCTGTCTGACCAATAAAGTCAATGGTGTGTGGGATAGCAATATCTAATGGTTTCAAGATGTTGCGTTACAAGTGATGGCCACAACCCTCGTTACTACACTCTCCCAGCCAGGAACCCATGCCCATGAACCGTGTGCAAAGCCCAAGTTCCGTAAGTTACACTGTGGATGAAGAATCTCCTCCCTCCACTTGGATTGAAAAACATTGAACCACCTCTTCATATCTGAATTATCCTCTTTCGTAGGCTGGAATGGGTCGTATATTGAAATAAAGCATCATTCCAGGGACTATGAAGGGGGGGTCATATGTGGAAGAGATATGAAGAGATCCCACCAGGTCACGGCGCCACCCCCCCCGGTGATTCGTCGTCTCCCAAACCGGCGAAGGAGACGCAGCGAGTCCCACTCGCGGGACCCGTGCCTCCGATCACGTCGTTCCAGAATGCTTGTTTGCCTACAAGGAGCACCGCACCTCCATCAGTTGCACACCTTACCCTATGGTTGCTGCACTGTTCCAAAAGAAGGTATCCCCCGATAAAATCATAGGACCGGATAACCCCACATGTTAACAACTTCACCAGACACAGGAGCGGACAAGTGGTGGTTGGTGGGTGGCAAATGGTTGGTGGCAGTTTGTTGGTGGCAGTTTGTGGGTGGAAGTTTGTTGGTGGCAACCGGTTGATGACAATTGGTTGGTGACAATTATGAAGGCTAAATGCAGGGTGTGTGGAGAAAGGGGGTCAGCAAAAGTCGCTTATACGAAGTTAGTGCATCAAAAATACCTTCCACGAAGTTCTGCGAAGGTTTCTGGGATTTCGTTGCAGTCAGTTCTCCTACTGGCCCACCATTCCACGAAGTGTCCACGAATAGCCTTGGGCTCTACGAATGTCCCGCGCCTTCAACGATGTTAGTAGAACAGGTTTTTGCAAAACCCTTTCTGTGCACTACCCTTCCGGTTGCACCTGAAATTAGTTGGTGGCAATTGGTTGGTGACAATTGGTTGATGACAATCGGTTGGTGACAATTGTTGCTGGCAATTGGTTGGTGGCAAGCGGGAGGCGGGAGGAGGAGAAGGAAGGAGGAGCGGATACAACACTAAAAACAAAAACCCCACACGTCAATGTGGGAAAAAAAGCAACAAGCCGAAGCTAAATACATTCACATACAAGCACATCCCATGCCCAGAACAGACTGCCACATGTCTACCCTTGTCGTCCAGCCCAGAACATCTGAAGGGTCCCTACATGTGTACTTCTGCCGTTGGCTTCTCAGATCGGTGCTCCTGATGAGCCAGCGCGGCAGGAGGGAGCAAGCTGAGCTTGACTGAAACACGACGAGTCACGACGAACCATGGCCTACCCCCAGCCTGATTGGCAAAATATTCTAGACATGGAGTGTCTGGGCATGTTTCTTGTTATTTCACGATTGTTGGTCTTCTAGACGAGGATCAAATGATGGATGACTTGGCTTAAGAAGCACCTGAGATAGATTGAAAAGGGATCACTCATTGGCAGCCTATATGAAAACAATGCATGTCAATCATGTTTCGGTATCCTGAGATGTTTTTTGATGATGAACTTCACTTCGTAGTGTGGAAGGCTTCTAAAACTCACTGGCCTGACCATGTCGAATTCCTAAAGCCAATGTGGCCTTTGTGATCTCTGCTTGGGGAATATCGGAGAGCATGAACATGACACAAGAGTTTTAGGGGGAGTCCAGCTGGTCAGCATTGGTGCTGACCATTTATACTTTTGCAAAAAGGAACGGTCCAAACACCAAAAACATAGAAAGGATCGAATGACTAAGGCAAAACATATGGGACTCTGGGACTCACCAAATCAGGTGAAAATCACGTTGAAACCGTGTTTTTCTTTCCTTTTTCTGCAAAAAGTCCAAGAAGTGGATGGCACCACCTGTTTATGGAACACGGTCCAGAAGAAAAGAGGGGGCATGTTCGACTTCCTTGATTCTTCCAGGGAGTGGTCTACCCCGGGGTCTCAGTTCCTTCAGGTCCTCGGTCTCGCCCTTCGGTGACCGACTCGCCCTTCCCCCCCCGCTGTCGATCGATCCAAAGGGCCTCTCCATGTCCGCTCTCCAGACCCACCGCCTCCGCCAACTCCTCTTTATGCTCCTGATCGCGCCGCGGTCGCTCGCCCGCGACTGGAGCAAAGATGCGACCGGAAAGAATGGGGACCAAAGCATATAGACACAAACAATAGACCAGGACTCGTAAAGGATAAATAAAACTACCCCAAGTCTCTCCACATTGATCTCCTTGCTTCAAGAACGAACTTTGTTATGCGTTTGGTCCACATGATACGTATAGTGTCGACATGTGCTGCTGATCAGTAATCCCTGGAACGGATCCCTCTCTCCTCCGCTTCTCGCAGCAAGAAGACGGCATGGCCGATGCGGGCGAAGCGCCACATGCGCGCCAAGATGAGTAGGCCGGCCCTGAGGGCGAAGGAGAAAAACAACACAGAAAAAACCACCTGCCCCTACTCTGGAAGTGGTGCTTTTCATTGTTCGAAATCCCATGAGGTAAAAAGCGTTTGGTTCTCGCATTCGGGTCCAAAGTGTATGAGTCCGTCAAGTGCCAGGACTCGAGGGCCTAAATCATTGTCTTAAACATAACTAGTATATAAGCTATATAATACGTCTATAATTTACATATTTAATTATGGTCTCTAATCACCTTCTCAGGTTCGGTATGTGGATCCAAACGGGAAAAACATATGATATTGTTCAAAGACGAAGAGCAATGACGAGCAATGATCGATGATCCAAGCTTCAAAGGACCTGGGTTTCTTTCCCATAAATCGACCAAGGCGCCAGGCAGACATGCCTTCGTAAAACATGCTCGCAGCAGTGCCCAGCTTGGTCACCGGCGCCAAATATGCATCAGCTGGGACTTCATAATGGCCTCACTGAAATGAAGATGTGTCCAGAGGCGACCCCGAACCCGAACCAACTGCTACATGTTGGTTCAGTCCAAAACCCGGACCGCGAACTGAGGGTCAAAACCCCAACACCGCGAACTGAGGGTCAAAACCCCAACACCGCGAACTGATGATGACTCGATGTCAGCACGACTCGATGTCCATCGTCGTGCGTCGCGGTTGGTGTGCAGCCATTTCTTCTCAGATCCTATGGAACGATAAAAAGGGGTTCTGGGTACCATCACGTGAGTGCCATGAATTTCAGTCGAACGTCACCATCAATCCAGCCATAAACATGGAAACAGTTCCTCTTTCCGTACCCCTGAACATGGATCAACATGGGTATACGTAGCATCAAGCTATACAGCATTGTACAGTGCATATAGGTGCCCAACTGAGACTTGCCCATCATGATCAATGGTTCCCACTCCTCCCGGCCCAGGACGCCAGCATGGACATTCATCCGTAGGAATGGAGACTAAATGGCACAAGGTCGCTTAAGTTGGGTGGTTGAAAAAAAACATATGTATATATATATATACTTCCAGCCATTTCCAATCGCACAAATCCAGTTCGAGCTATTTCCAAGGGCAGCACAACTCTCCACATCTCTTCATCTCTGTGAGTGTGGAGACCACAAAAACACTTAGAATAACTTAGATACCGTTGTTTTGACTGCTTTCCACCAAAAAGTCTAATTACTTCAGCAGATTTCAGAAGTGAACTCGTGAGATCATCATTCGAGGAGTCAGCTCTCATGAAGCTGGAGCTTCAAAATCTTAGAAATGTAAGAAAGCGCACGTGTACGAAAGCATATTACTAGTAGTAGCTTCTTGTTACTAGTAGCGATGCCCTTGTTACTAGTAGCTTCTTGCTACTAGAAAGCGCACAGTCTGGATCTCAGCCCTGGTGTACTTGGGATCACCCTCCTGGCATGAGACCTGACGCACGGCTTCGAAGAAAGGTGCCGTGGTGGCTGAGTTGGCCGATCTCGGCGGTCAAGGACAAAAGGACCACGAAGAGGTCCAGGGGAAAGAACCAGAGCTTGAAGTATCCTGTGGAACTGGAGCCGAAAGCTGAGCTCTTTGGAACATGGTGGTTTTCAGCAAAAGCACCCAGCTCTGGTGCTGAAAAAAAACAAATGGCAAGCAAAATGCTGCCTGTCCAAAGGCAGCAACACCTGTGTTTGGACCTTTAAACCTACCTAGTTATCCCAAACTTGAGAGACACAATTGCTGCATGGCCTCCATCAAAAAATAAGACAGCAGCAAACAGCCCGGTATCTTGGCCTCCAGCAAACAGCCCATCCTCCGGTCTACTAAAAACTGTCCCCCCGAGATGCAAGATGACTGCTGTCCTGTCCCAAACCAGGCGCTGTCCGGGAGTTCGAGGGCCCAAACCCGAACAGGAACGAGAAGCGGATCGAGCGCGTCATAGCGCCGCGTCGATCCTTTGTGCGGCCAGGGAGCTCCACCGAAAGGCCACCATGAAAAGGATGTTTTCAATCAGGAAAACACCCAAAATCACCACGCTCACCTCGGGGCCGAACGTCTTGTGGGCCCTTGATGTAGTTTTGTGTTTTCCTGTTGTTTGCTATTTGGGAACAAGAGCACTTCCTTCTCATCCTTGCATGTCTGCAGGGTCATCTCACAAGGCCCCTACGAGTTCATCCCTCTTCACATGTTCCTGGTGTTTGTTGGGCAGTGTGGGGTAGGCTGTTCCAAGCAAAACACAATGTTTGTGGCACCCGATATGGACACCCCTTACTCTTTGTGTTTTCTATTCGTCAAAGTCGAGGTTCTGATCCATGTTCGACCAATTGGAGCGAGCGAAGTCTTTGGTGTAATGGGCTCAAAGCGGTCCAACACACAAGGCTTGGATAGTCTTTGATGATTATTTTCTGGATGTTCTGCCTTCGAAGGACACGGAACGTATATACTGGCGTCAAACATACAAATCTGGCAAGAGGATGATGTTCATTAAAGGTAGTGTAACGTAGCCTTCTGGACTAGTACAACCACCTCTGAAACAACTGAAACCAACATCGGACAAAAATACTACCCGCCCACGAAAGCCTCAAGATACGACTCAATCATCTAGACAAAGGATCCATTCAAGATATGGCAGTTTCACCTATCTTTTGTTCCAACAGTACACAATACCGTATCCGTTCCAACCCATAGATCTCGGGGGGGCAACGCACAAAGGCACTGATTGTCCCTTATGCGATCTGAATGAGGTTGGTATGCAACAAGACCATTGTTATGTTGTTTTTTTCGTATGCAACAAGTTCGCTCAGCTGGTCAGCTTGGTCACGAATGTAAAGATGTGTTCCACTTCAGCAAACTGTTTGGCCACATGATACGTATGCTGGTCGTCCACACAGGCCTGCGCGTCCTGACACGTAGCTCTCCAGGTTTCGAAGTAGGCCCAGTAGGAACTGAAGGAACTGAAGGCAATACCCAACTGTGAAGAACAAGTCTACCACAGTGGAAAAGGGTCAAACTGGTCCAACTCGGTTACAATCAATGGCCTGGACATGCCTGGACTGACTGGTTCAAGTCCCCATCAAACCAGTCTCGTTCACGCGTCTTCGCACGGGATGCCGTCCAGTCCTCCACGCTCGTCATAATGTGATGCGGCCCTTCAGGCTCCACTGCATCGATGAAGCAGTTGGTGACAGCGGTTCCTGGTCGGCAGTCGGCAGTCGGTTCCTGAAGGAATGAACCTGGTTGAACACGTCGGGTTGCGTCTGGTTTTGTCTCGTTTACGTCTATTGAAGAGATTTCTATAGTGACAAATATGGAACACGCGACGTGTTCAAATTCCCTCAACTCCCATGTTGGGAGTTTCATCTACATTGATCATTCTGGTTATTTCTACTTATTATACAATATTGTTGTCAACTCATTTTGTTCTTGTTCTCCGGTCGGGGTTACAAACAGAGGTGATTAAGCTGGTGCTGTCCTGATACAGCGAATTTCTCATTGTGGGATTGACCTGGAGATACCCCGCTCTAGCAAGTAGGTTTGGGGGGTCTAACCACCTTCTGAGGATATGGTTGGAGCCCTAGCATATATTTAATACTTATGGCTGCAGCTTGTTCCATCAGAAAGGGACCAAACAGTGTACTACCGCCAGTTCATCAGCTTCCGGCTGTTTCTCCTGTCTCGCTTGGAAGATCTGGGTTGCTTGGCGACGTCGATCCCAAACGCGAGGTGGAACTCGTGGAGTTCACGGCACGGAGAAAACGAGACTACGACTGGCAACGGCTACTGTATGGCAGAACCAACAACCTGTTGCAAGGTTTGCTGCCTCCGGAAAAACAAGGGCTCTTCTAGCTTAGTCCTCCCTTTTTGCTTCTTTTTGTGTAGTTTTGCCCAAGGGCTGTCTGCTGAGCTGCAGGTTCTTGTGTTGACTGAGCTGGCGTGTGCCACTCTGCTCCACTCACCAACGCCCGCCTCCCAAAGCCTGGTGGGGTGAGGGTTGGAGATGGTCAGTCTTGACCAACTGGGCCGATTTCAAGTCCTTCCTTCCTTCCTTTCTTCCTTCCTTATTTAGACCTTTCTTTCCACACACAGCAACCACATCAACCACTCGATTTGCAGAAACATCGAGCGCCTTGCAATGAGGCGATCTCGATTTGCAGCTGCAAGCCCACCACCACCAGCAGCACATCCTGGAAGCACATACGGACGTGACATAAATTCAAGACCCTATAGCCTTCAAACGCCATTTACAAAAATGGTTGACCTGGCGTGATGGTCTACAATCCTGAATAAAACAATGGTTGGTCAGCAAAGACCATTGGGACATATCAAAACAATGGTAGTTGGAATCCTAAAGGAACAAGTAGGACGCCCGGGCCCACCGGGGTTAACAAAATGAAAAGTGGGATAGCTTTACAACTGTCACCTCATATCACCTGTTCGTCGCAGCAGCAAAGCTGGATGGGTTCTGGCTTCGCGAGCGTTCAGGAGCTCAGACTCCGCTGAACAATCTGGATTAAGTTCACACCTTCAAGATTTCAAGTTTAACCCTTTGAAGCAACCTGAAGCAACCTGGTTCAAAGTCCAGAGTTCAAAGTCTTTGTTCCATTGCACAAGCAAGAAAAGAGGTGTCTGAGGCCGCAAGAGTTCAAAAAAGTTCAATAAACCAACTTGTTTTAAAGTTCCAAGTTCACCCCCTACTTGAGTTCCACCGACCCCAAAAAAGAGAAGAGACGGCGCCATCAAAACACGCGCCATGGAGGGTGGGTCCTGTCCGGTTCTGTTTACATACACCGGGTAACCCGACTTCAACTTACCTCAGAAAATGGAACATTACCCCTCTTGTAAACAAAACACAATAATAAAAAACACATGTATACTTATATATGCATGTATAGTTTATAGTATATATGTACTAGTATCATAGTAATTATGTACTCATAATTTTCTGAGGTACGAACTGAGACTCCAGCTTCGCGATTGGACGCACGGGACACCACACCGAGGGTCGATCCCCAGCAGAATGAGCAAGGTATAATGCAAATAGCGCCCGAAGAGGAAACGCACCAGCCCTGCGCGGCAGGATTTGGAACTTAGCTCCAGATCCTCAGCTGTGCGGATGGATATCGCGATGATTCAGCGATGTCGTTATACCTTTAGCGGATAGTTCTAACTTGACTTCGACAAGTCTTTCAAGTCACCTTCTGCGTTGGGCCCAACGCAGCTTTTTTGCCCAGGCAATTGGCCAATCACTTCAACATCTGAGCATCCTTACCCACCTCCTATTTGATCTCTTGGACACCGTGGGCTGCTTCTTCCAGCAAAAAACACCTTCAACAAACACCTCCTCTCCGCCCCCCACGGAGTCCGCCGCCCGAAGTCCGCCCGGGCTCGGGGAAGACCTTCCCGAACTCCGAGACCTCCTCCACCGGCACCGAAGCCAACTTCGAGGCCGTCAGCATCAACTCTTCACGCGCGCTCAGCTGGTGCACTCGGTGGGAGAGCTCCCTGTCCACACCGCGCGTGCACTCCGCGTGCGCGTGCAGCGCCGGAGGTCCCGGACGGTTCCAGATGGTCCCCGAAACATGATAGAAGATGTAGGCCCTAGAACCTGATTGGACATCAGTTTTGGCCGCCAGGTCACATGGTCTTTTCCTATAACAAAGGTCACATGATGTCACATGGGTTCCAATTGATTAGGTGTATATAATAGTCTTTGACTGCGGTGCGGGCCAAGCTCTTTCACTAGTCCCGCCCGGCCTGATGTCCATCTTGCGAGACTCCGATGATGTGGTGGCCATGGCTCTTGGTGCTACAGAAAGCAAACCAGTTAGTCAAAAGGAATCATGATCTCCACGGAACCGCTACTTAACGGATACCTACGGATTGTGTGAACTCTTGCTTGAGCGCCGTCCTGACATGAATGCTACTGAACAATAAGCAGCGTATATTCGCGTGGTCATTGCCCTTGTTGAAACATGCTGCTGCTGACATTGCTTCTCATGTTCCGCAACAACGCAGGCTGGAAACTGTGCAAATCCTGCAGCATCGGCTCCGGTGAAAAACCATGAAAAATCCTCCGCTTTTTGCCCCGTCTGCCCAGTCGAACACCGGTAGAGCGCCCGGAGCTGTACTGAGGGCGGCGCCCTCGCCCGGGGGGCGGGGAGGATAGATCCCCGAGAGCTTCACGGGGATGATCTTCAACTTCTGTGCCCGGGCGTACCTGAGCTGTTTGCTGAGAAGAACAGAAGCGCGCTGGCTCTGTGTGGGGAATTGCCGGGTGGGGCGCCGAACTGGATAAGAGCCAAAACGGCGGAGCCGGCTCTTGGCTCTGAGGTTTGATATAGATTGTTTGAGGAGAGAGCAATAAGGGACCGTGAAACAGGGGAGGTGCTTCTAAGAGGATATAGGGTATCTTATCACATCCCTATGGCGGCTACAATTCGTGTTGGAAGAGCTTTAAAAGAATTGGAAACACAACAAACAGTCTGGTCCCTGGTCTACTCAAACACCGTGCAGTCTCGTAGGTATGTGATGCATCTTTAACGAGCACTTGTGCAGATGTTCCTGAAGAGGGAGAGCCAAGGCAAAGAACAATTTGGCAGATTATATTCCACTCACTATATTGGTTGGAGCATCGTTGCAACCAAAGTAACTACCAAAAATAGATCATCCATAAAACGATGATAGACAGTGTATTTGTTCTATCCACATACATCCACCTACCAAACAAATGCATCGTTGCTTCATGCAAAAGAATGGATGTCCATATATGTCCTGGAATGTGAACTAATGTCCCAAGACTTTCCTCGGTGTTTGGATGGGATCTAGCAATCCCCACTACTTGCAGAGCATGACATGCCTTGTTGATCTATGTACAGCCCATGGCATTGAAGTGACAAGCTGCTACTCTCGGCTGCTTCTCTCGACGTTTGTGATACGGGAATTGGGACGATCGGGACAATTGTATACTAGACAAATGGTCAAACATGTTTTCTCGGCATATTTAAGTGTCAAGTCCAACATGTAGCCAGTGGATCTCTGGAAGAGGGAAGTGAAAAATAGCTGGTCCTATTTCTGGGACTTTGTTCCTTCACAATCTGTGTTCCTCATCGAGGAAGGGCCAGGCTTGCGGCAGGCAACCTTCCTTTGGTCTGTTCCACTTCAGAAGTAACAACTCTTTAGACACGGAATTACAGTGAAGCCTAAGGCCGAGCCCAAGAAGCATACCCAAGATGCTCCATTTATGTATGTGGCTACATTGACCCCTGTTCAACCACCCCCAATGTATGTAAATATTCCTGGAATGGACAATCCTCCCATGCCACCACAAGCCTGTTCTGAACTCCGAGCAGCTTCAGCTCATCAAAGGTCTCATAGTTCAGCCCAAAGGTCCGTTCCCCATAGTCCTCCACGACGCTTTGTTCGAAGAAAGCGGATCATCCCCAACCGCCGCTCGTTCCCCGACCGGGTCCAGCGAGGTACTTCACTTCACCCAAAGGTTCACTGTTTTGACGAAGCTGGAAGTCAAGAGTTTTGGAGCCTCTATCCAAGCTCTTCAGTGATTTTTTTGGACACGCTCGTGTTTGCAAAAGAAAAAGAGGGACCGGGCAATCTAATTATGTATGATTCATGAAGGCAGGGTACGCCATCAAAACTTTGAGTCCAAAAACATGGGCAAACACGAAGCTAAACCTCTCCTTGTCCAATGTCCAATGGACATTGACATATTTTGGCCACCACCTCAACGACACAACGGTAAGTATTCCACTATGAAGGACAGTCTGGATTCCTTTATTTAGATCCAACTTTGTGAGAGTCAAATCTCTAGTGTTTGACGAGCAGCACATCGAGGGTCATGACATGTCATGACTATGAGGTATAGTCCCAGATGAAGCGCCTTCAGCGCTCCTTGGAACCTCCAACGCCCGCTCCCAGTCCCGAAACAGAAGACCGACTACTCTCGTGCTTCCACCTAGTTCATGTTTATATATAGTGGGGTGTCTCCCATCCTCCCCCACAAAAAAGGTGACGTGCAGGTGATCCCACGCACTTCCTGGGTTATATCGGAAAATCCACGGGCCGGGGCGTTCCCCACGGGCCGGGCGGGTAGAGGCACAGGCTCGTTCAGGCTCTCTCAGGTCCCGCTCCTCGAAGCAAAAGGCCACCAGCACTTTGGCCGCAGCAAGACCTTCCTGCGTGAGATCGATCAGCGGAAGAAGTTGCGCAATAGAATACTATATACTTTTTCTTGTGGGGGTCGTCAACTTCCCTGTGTCGGTCAGTTCTTTGGTCCGTCCCTGTTACAAAGGAAACTAACTTAAGACATAGTCATCATAGGACTAATGAATAGAATAGAGGACAGTGGTTGGGGTATCTTGCGGTAAGGGATGGCGGGTTAACTGCAAAGCCCTGAACGAATAGAGTGTGAGGTATTCAAAGATTCAAATTTCGGGAAACGGGTCGACCTGATGGATCAGCAACTTCGTGACAAAACTCCGGACGTCTGTTGAACTGCCCAGCTGACGGTCTGTGCTGCAGTCAGGCTGTGTTGAACTGTATGGCATACTGCTAGAGTCAAGCCCGGCTTGGCGTTGGCATGAAGGTCTTTTGATGTGATTCCAGGCTGCACCAAGCAAATTGGGCAGCGCATGCTCACGGCCCACATGGGCGAGCAGGGTTGCTTTTGGAATGTTCATGAACCCCGTACCTGCCTAACTAGCAGTCCACTCCCAGTTCTTGATCGCATTTTTTGTTGGATACCAGGAGATCCACAGAAACTGTACATGCACGGAATTCGGATGCGAGTGCAGAGCCGTGCCCATTCTTTCTTGTTGGAAATGCTTTTTGCAGTGCCCAAGCCAGCCATCGATGCAAAGATGGAACAAGCACCTCAACACATAAGGAATCTGCCAGCCTCAAAGTACATCCGGGCATCTGCTTCCGCTGTTTTCGTACCGCAACATGCACCCTTGTTCGATCGGCTCTGTGGACAGCTGACATGAGACCCACCACTGGATATCCCATGCTTCCTCTGGTATCTTCCCATCAGATTCTAGACCCCCTTCAAATTATGTCACACATATCTGGAACGCAAGCAGCCGCGCTACTGCAGCACCCTACCCTACTCGCGCCTTGGTCACGGTGTCCAGATCCTTTCCGGGCACCGGCTCACAGGTGAAGGCCGGAACATCGTGGGCGATCAGCAAGTCTTTGATCCTGGCAGAAGAAGAATGGTAATTTCTGACCATCTTGAGACGGGGCGGGCCGGCGTGTTCAAACTGGTTTCGGGTTTCTGTCAGTGGGCGTCCTGTGGGTAGGGTCAGAAAATCTGAAGAAGCTGAAAGCAAATGGTTGGGATGAAGCTAGAAAGTACCGTGCTGTGTCAAGATGCCAGAAAGCTCGGAGGTTTCTTTGGCCAACTCTGCAAGAGAGAGATAGGGATCCCAGCACCAACACCATCATGCACCGTGGAACACCGGATGGAACGTCCAGTTTGTAAAAAGCACCAAATCCGACGGATCGGTCGATCCATGAATCTGCGAAGCCTGAGAAGCCTGTCCGCCTCTCTCCGAGATGGGTCAATCCCTAGCAGCCAATCGCTGTCCAGCCTGGTCCTTTGGCCGTGGGGTTTCACCTTTATATATAGTTGTTTTTTCTCCAGAAATCCCTTCTAAACCAAACACACTAAGGGAGTCTGGTTCGTACGCCGAAACGGGGACGGTCAAGCTAGGTCTCATCTTCCCTCAAATTTGACACAATCCCCCGCGAAACCATGTACCTTTGCCATATTCCAGGAACGTTGGGTCAGCTGCTGCGTTGATCTTTCGAGCCTTCCCTCAATTTGTTGGCAACCATCTGAAAGACATTGTATATGTTGAATTCAACAACAGGACAAGAGGTATATCCCATTCCCAGTAACAGTGGATGGATGTGGATGGTGATGGTCAGGTTCCAGACCTTTCTCAAAAATACTGGTGATCATCTTAGATGCTGACTGTCAGAGGTAATGGGACACCCTTTCTCAATACTAGTTTGTTAATTACCTATTCTCCGAATTTGTTCTCCCTCCTTCAAGAAATCGACACAAACTCCTGCCCGTCCGACCTCTCATGGACCCCCGGACCCTCTTTCCCCGGCCTCTGGATGTACCAGAACTTCTTGTCCGTGTTAAAGCGACCAGAGAGGTACAAATACCTGCAGCTGAGACGGAGAATGACAAGTAAACCGAAAGAAATCGATCTGCAGAGAGGACCAAATCGCCGAAACCCAGGTTATCGCCACGGGTTTGTGGGTTTGTGGTGTTCATATCGGCGATATGATATATGGGAATCATATGGAAATAATAATAGGCTGCTAATGCTTCTATCATGTCCACCAAAGTGTTGGTTATCGGATAGGAGAGGCAGAGTTCGCCTCACCGTCACCAACGGGGACAGCATGGGGTAGCACACCACCCGTCGCACAACCAACAATCCCCTTAACGTTCAACCCTGAACAAAACCAACCGCACTCACTCAACTTGTGAGCACACTCCCCCAACAAAAGCTAGTCAGTCATACCTGTCATTGAATGCGTTTTTAGGGGATCAACAAAGAATTGAGGCGCCAGTGATAACAGTGACTCAACATGAAGCGAGTAACACACAGCAGCCCAGAAGTGCGGTCTTCAACATGAGTAAGTTCAGGCGGTCTAGTTGCCACCGCATGACTACATGGATCTTTGATGTGTTGGCGTTGTTCGGAAGAATCACCGGAAGACCCCGAGCATGTTCGCTTCTTCCATCCTTTGAAGTCCATAGTGGAAAAGGTTGGCCCATGGCTGCGAGGCGGACTGGCAGTCCGGTATCAGAGGCG